AGTAAAGATCTAGATTCACCTTATTCGGTGTATAGATCAAGATGGCAAGAACCCGTAGCGGAAACGTGAATGCAAATGGGAACAGAAACCAACCCCCAGTGATTGAGCAAATACCGGTGATGGAAGCCGCCGCTGAGCCAGTCACAATGGCCGGAGTGCAAGCGATGATCCAAGCGATGTTGGATCGTCAAATGGAGGAAACTAGACGTTTGCTCCAGCAAAATCGTGAGGAAGCCACTATTCAGATCGAACAGCCCGAGTTGAACGAAGGGCAGACTGAGGAAGGAAACTACAGTGGGACTGTTGGTCAAGTCAACCCACCAATAGTTCGACAAAACAACCAAGATGACGAGGTCGAGAGGAATGGATGCAAGTACAAGGATTTTCTGACTTGCAAGCCATCGACTTTCACTGGAAAGGAGGATCCGATCGGGGTCATGGATTGGATCTCGGAGATGGAGTTAGCCTTCATGACATGCGGTTGTAGAGGGAAGCTACAGACCACATTTGCAGTGCGTCAGTTTCGAGGAGGCGCTGTACGTTGGTGGAATACCTTGGGGAAGACTCTGAGCCCTAATGAGCCTCTGCAACTGACATGGGCAGAATTTCTGGTGCAATTCAAACGAAAGTACTGCTCAGCTCAAAACCTGCTTGAGCTAGAGAACCAGTTTCTAACCCTGAAGAAGGGAAGCATGTCAATCGATGAATACACCAACAACTTCACAGAGAAGATGGAGTTCGCCTTGCGTCTTGTTCCGGATGAGCTGACGAAAATCGACAAGTACGCAAAAGGACTTCCATGGGAGTACGCGGTGCCAGTGCGTCAAGCACCTACTCTAGAGGCAGCTATCTGGGCTGCCAAGTCTGTCGAAGATATGATCAAGGGAAGAGCCTCCAGCAAGATGGAGGTTGGCGAGAAGAGAAAGTTTGAAGGATCTTCAAGGTCCAGCGAGAAGAGAAAATTCTCGAAGTTTGAAGAAGGAACGCAATGGTGTGACAAGTGTAGAAAGAAGCACATCGGGAAATGCTCTAAATATACGACATGCTTTAAATGCGGGAAGACTGGTCATTACGCCAGCGAATGCACAACCAAGAGAGAAGTCTGCTTTAAGTGTGGAGAAGAAGGACACTTCAAACAAGACTGCCCAAAGAGAGAAGGGGCTACAAAGCCAAATGTGCCACCAAAGCCAAAGGCGAGAGCATTTCAAATGATCCTTGACGAAGCAGATGACAATGCAAGGATTCAAGAGTGAAGGCTTGACATCCGAGGATCGAGTTATGGAGTAATCGTGTAGATAGTACCTCACGATGTAGCCCGTTAGAGGCATAGTCTAGGGTGAACTTGAACACCTATGTAACAGTTTCAAGAAATAATATAAAACCTTTGTTTTGTTATCTGATGTGTTAAGTTGTTGTATGGTTTTCTTGTATGGTGACTTGGAAAAACTGCGGGACAATACTTGGGACGAGTATGAGTAGGTGTGAATGGTAGTAGAGGCCTATACTACCGGAAGCACAGGACTCACACTTGGATCAGGGAAAGTCACAAGGTTACCAAGAAGCCAGTAATTGATTTCGTTTTATTCAAGTATGCCGTTACCATTGTTTCGGTAATGACTAAGAAGATTGTTGTTATCCCGACCCTAGTGGTCATATCACCTTGAGTCCGACTACGATGAGTAGGTTACGTGGTTCAGAGAACCAAGTTTGATATAGCGTCCGACTTAAACCAAACGATTAAAAATCAAAGCGATCAATAGAAGTATCGCGCTCGTTGGTAGCTAGAAATGCTACATGTTAAAGTATGATTATATCACATTAGAACATGAAGGAAGGCTTAGTCTGTTTTAGAATTTAAGAGACCTGAGTCTAAACGTACATCACATGATGATAGGTCATAATTTGGAGTCTAATATGAGGTAGAGAGCAGGTGCACGATCAAGTACTGCTTACAGTCAATAAGTCTAAGAGATAGACTTGAAGGAATAAAGAAGTTATAATTATTACCTAGGATGAAGAGATGACGTATGGAGTCATTATACGATCCTTGTTTCGTTGATGATTCCGGGACGTAATCATCCTAAGGGGGAGATAATTGTAACGCCCGCAGATCCGGGCTAGTCAATTTAGAGGCAATAGGGGTCAAAAATGACTTTTCGACAAAAGATTATTTAGAATGAATAGTCTTAACCAAGTTTTAGAATATGTCACAAGGTTTCCGTACATATAAAGAACGCCGAAATCCGAGTTATAACGAAGAAGTTATGGCCCGCCGAAGTTTTACGGCAAAACCGGCACGGCACCGGAAGACGTAAATAGTGAATTTACGATAGAAGACTTTTTAGCCTTAGCAATCTAAACAAAAGTCGTAGAATATGTTAAACTAAGAGCGTCGATAAAAAGAACGCCCAAATCTGACTTCGTATGAGGAAGTTATGATTTTTCTAAGATTCGGCTTAGCAGTGTACAGCCCGAAACTCGAATTTTAGTTCGAGCGGTTTTTGGCTTACGTGAAATAAATGAGAGTTGAAGATCTCATTAATAGGAACTCAACGGTAAAAAGACAGACGAAAACGGAGTCCGTATGAAGGAGTTACGAATTCTTCGCGGTCATTTAACAGTCTAAACGCCTCGTACTGTTAAATTTAAGATCGGTCGAGAATTAGCCGACGGAGTCAAAATGAAAGTTGTAGATATTATTTTTACCTACGCGTGGATATAAAGAACGTCAAAAACGGAGGTCGTATGTGAAAGTTACGGATTTTAGAAGTCGGAAGTGTGTTGTGCGAAAATGGGTGATGTGGCACAATCTTGGCCATTGCTTTCTCCCCAAGTCTTGCCACTAGATGGTGACATGTGGCACCAAGTTCAGCCATTTTCACCCTATAAATACCACCTCTCCCACCCTCATTTTCTTCACACCTTTCCCATTCTTTCTTCTCTTTACTCTCTCTCTAGAACCTCTCTCTAGCCCCGAAATCCCCCGAAAAGCCTAGGGAACCTCCCTAGCACGAGGCGGAAGCCCCGGAGTGCTCGACGGCTCCGAGAAGAAGAGCTTTTCGGCTCGGAAACGCTGCTCCAAGCAAAGCCTGGTTTTCTATAAAACCCGCTGTAAGTGAGCTACGCCTACGCTATTTTTAATATAGTTTTTATTTAATTATATTAACGTTATTAAGAACATATAATAAATACTTGGGCTATTATTATGGGTTATATAAGTATTTTTTTTAACGCTTATATAATAGTAATAATAGCTAGACTATTAATTAGTCTCGGCGAATAATAGACTAAAATCTATTGGTGATAATACTAGGTTTCGTCGAAGGAAATTATTTTAAAGTAAACGAAGCGCTGTCCGAGTACCGAGTCACCACCTTCTCAGGTGAGTGCATAGTCCCTTTCATGAACATGATTTTAATACAAGTATTGATTGAAGTATTAATTATATGTTTATGTGCGAGTTAATTGATGTTGCTTGAAATTCGTGTTAAAGAACATACCTGATTATATTTGATAATTTAGGATAAAGAGTAGACCTAAATTAAATATGAGGAATATTGGGTAGTATATTCTTACGAGTACAAGTGAGTTAAACTCAGAGAATAGAAGTTAGTATATGTCACTTATCCGGGAGTATGGATTAGACATAGTCATTGTCCCTAGTCCGAGAATATGGATTAGGCATAATCATTCGTCGTTAATCCGAGAGTATGGATTAGCTATTGTCCCTAGTCCGAGAGTATGGATTAGGCATAATCATTCATCTTTAATCCGAGAGTATGGATTAGTCATTCGTCCCTAGTCCGAGAGTATGGATTTGGTAAATTCGTTCATTTCTGATCCGAGAGTATGGAGTAGGTAAAACGACTAATCTTAGGTCCGAGAGTATGGATAGCCTCGTTGCGAGGATCGACGGGGTGGGATAAGAGTTGTTTATATATATGTATGGTGAAATTGTATATTTTGTGAATTTTAAACTATATATATGGTATAACATTGTGGGATTGAAATCCCTATGTGCTCACCAGGTTTCCTAACCTGACCCACTCAGTTTATTTATATCACAGGTGTTGATATGAAGTGACATTACACTGAGAGATTTAAAGAGATGTAGACCACTAGTGTGAATAATTGTAAGTTCTGTTTATGCTTATGTTCCTGTATTAACGATGACATCCCAAACGTTTTAAAATGAAATAAATACGTTTCTTCGAAAATGTTTTAATAACGTATTTACCATGTTTTTCTGGGAACAAATTCCGCAACCTTTTTATAAAATGAAGTACTCTGGTTTTTATAAAGCATAAAGAAAATCGGTCTTTTCTGGCCGTGATTTTGGGGATGTCACAGGGTGTATCATTTAATAAAACTTTTATCTTTGTAATTTATTATTTTTTTATAAATATTTGATTTTTTATCACGATTTTAAATTATCAATAGTTATTTTATTTTTCTTTCTTGATCGTGGTTTTTATAGGTATTAACCTAATTATTCATATTTTATTGTTTTATATGAAAGTGTACTTTTTAATTATTTTATTGTTATTTGTTAAAATGTATATTTATAATTAGTTGAAAACCTCTAAATCATTGAAAATATTAATGACAAAGGCTTAAAAATTAATAAATTCTTTGAAAAAACTTTGGTATGAAAAAAAAAAAAAAACACATTAATTAGCTTTTTCAAGTTTTAGAAACAATTTGGTTTAAAAAAAACTTCAATAACGCTACTTTTAGTTTTCTGTTTTCGGTAATATATAGTTAAACAACTACAAATCTTATGACAAATAAAACCAAAATTTATAATAAAAATTTGCTTTTCAAAATTTTCAACTCCTCTATCATTTATTTTCACCAATCGTTGTCTAGTGTTTGCCCATAAAACAAAAGAAACAAATTGCTAATCAAATTATATTTTATTTCAGCTAATTAACCGTGTAATAATTGATTTAATAAATAAAGCTTTTAATATAAAATAAATTAAAAATAAATTGTTTAACATGTGATTGTGGAAAACATTCATCAAAACGAGGGTTTAGTTTTTTATTCAAGGTGGGATTAGATTCTTTTGACATGCCAAGAAAGAAAGTATCTTCTTTCCATAAACAGCACTACCATTACATTGATTCCAGACAGGGACACTGCCACCATCAACCACATCCTCTGTTTTCGCTAGGGTTTCATTCCTTTATTTCTTTATTCTTAAATCGCTGTTCTTCCGAATTTCATCGATGTTTATTCGCCAATCATAAACCACGACTTCTGCAAATTATTCATTCATAACCAAAAAAAAATGAAGGTCTAGCTTCTCGATAGAGATACAGTGAGTGGATATAGTCCATTTGACCAAGTCCCGCCGGCAAAGACGTCCGTCAATTCTATATCATTATCGCTATACGTCTATATCTTTGTTGTCTTCTACGCATATTCCATATGTAACATCACAGAGTGATCAAGTATATGAAGAAGCAAAGGATTCGGATTGTAATTCGCATAATCGCAGAACGGCTGCAAGCTTCCCAACTTTGAAGAACCCGTCCAAACCCTAATTTTGGGGCTTATTGGTGTTCTTAATTGAATCGGATTTAAAGGTATCAGCTCTTTTAAAGGTAGGATAATTGTTTGTTTGTTGGGAAATTGATTGATATATGGGAGGGATTTGCGTTAAGCCTTCTGGTGGGAGCCCAAGAGAGAGAACGTCTAGTAAATTATCATCAGAAGCGTATGTATTACAGTCCATCAGGGAAGAAAGTTTTAGGCTGAAAAATCGACCTGAAGTTCGACCAATTTCAGTCGACAAGAAACCAAATTCTGTTCGACGTGTACGCGATGATCATTTTGAGAAGAAGAAAGAGGGGTCTGAAGTTATTCTCGCTAATATTCCAAGTATCAGAACAATTCCGAAAGCCACAGAAGGAGAACAGGTCGTTGCAGGTTGGCCTTCCTGGCTTGCTGAGGTAGCTGGTGAAGCCATTAATGGCTGGTTACCTCGAAGAGCAGACACATTCGAGAAATTAGACAAGGTATCTTCATCTTATATTCTTATTCAGTTCTTCTTCCTAATTTTACGATTCAAACAAGCTTTATTCATTCATTCACTTTTATCTTTACAGATTGGTCAAGGAACGTATAGCTGTGTATTCAAAGCTCGCGATCTCACAAACAAGAAAACCGTCGCTTTAAAAAGAGTAAGATTCGACAACATGGATTCAGAAAGTGTCAAGTTCATGGCTAGAGAAATCCTCGTCTTGAGAAGACTCAATCATCCAAATGTAATCAAACTCGAAGGATTAATCACTTCACGAACTTCATCCAGTTTATACCTTGTTTTCGAATACATGGAACATGATCTAACAGGATTAGTATCACTACCCGGTATCAGATTCACAGAACCACAAGTGAAATGCTACATGAAACAGCTCCTAAGTGGACTTGATCATTGCCATAGTCATGGTGTTCTTCATCGTGACATAAAAGGCTCAAATCTTTTGATCGACAATAATGGGATTTTAAAAATTGCTGACTTTGGTTTAGCAAGTGTCTTTGATTGTAATCAAAGTGTTCCATTAACAACACGTGTAGTGACACTTTGGTATCGACCACCTGAACTGTTGCTTGGAGCTACACATTATGGAGTTTCTGTGGATTTATGGAGTGCAGGATGCATTCTTGGTGAGTTATATGCAGGGAAACCTATCATGCCTGGTAGAACAGAGGTTGAGCAACTTCATAGAATCTTTAAGCTTTGTGGTTCACCTTCTGAAGATTATTGGAAAAAGACGAAATTACCCCACTCAACAGCTTTCAAACCTGTTCATCCTTATAAAAGACGGATTCTAGAAGCTTTTAGAGAGTTTCCTTTACCTGCTGTTGGACTTATGGAGACCTTACTTGCTGTAGAACCTGAACAAAGAGGAACTGCATCACTCGCTCTCAAGAATCAGGTATTCTTGAATATTAAATAATTTTAAAAAAGAAAATAGAAACTAATAAATAGCGTGTTTTTGATTCTTTCAGTTTTTTACGACAAAACCTTATGCTTGTGATCCTTCAAGTTTGCCACATTATCCTCCTAGCAAAGAAATTGATGCGAAGATGAGAGATGAAGAAGCTACAAGGTATCAAGAATCTTTTTTATTTTTTTTTTGTTCATTGTGATTTTCTAAATTTTAAGTAACTTATTGTAGGCAAAGGGAAGGTGAAAGGCTTGAGAAGGAAAGGAAAGAGAGTCATATAAAGCAACATGCGATATTGAAGGGTTCAAAAGATGGTCGACCAATGAGGGACTCTTATTCAGGGCCATTGGTGGCTGGAAACAAATACTGTGAAATTTCAAGAACATCTAAAGAGGATGAAATTGAAAAGAAGGATGTTTCGTGTTCCCAAGTAAGAAAAGATGAAGTGGGTAATATTATTAATAATAATAATAATAATAAGGTATACAAGAAAGGAAACAAAATACAATTTTCGGGTCCATTAGTTTCATCAAATGTTGACCAAATGATTAAAGATCATGATCGACATATTCAAGAAGCTGCCCGAAGATCACGGATTGAGAAGATGAGGGTTGGTGAAGTTGAAGGAAAGGAAATGGTGAGAAATGTAGTGTATCCATCGAGTCGATTATCCAAATAAAAAAAAAAAAAACTTGTGACATGTGTTGTGATTTAGATGGTTTTGTGTAGAGAAATTCTTATTGTATGTTTTTTTTTTCTTGAAATTATAGTGTAATTTAGGGAGGAAAAATGATAATATGGTGCATAGGTTTGTTGATTGGTGTGCAAGAAAGAAAATATAGGAACACGTAATAGAATGGTTTTTGAAGCGGATTGTGGTTTTGGTTTTTGTTGTACTATCTTATATGTGTGCGTGTCATGAAATATGTTTGAGAAAAATCCGAATCAATATGGTAAACTTCGAGTTTAGGAAAAAAATTAAAAGTCGTTTTTGTAGATTTTTGTGAAGGGTCTATTTGTGGTTATGGTCAAATATGAGTTATGACATGCAGAATGTATATTTGTATGAGTTATTTTTACATCAAATTTGTTGTAAAATTGTATAAACCAACATCATTTCATACATTATTTTTGGGTTGGTGAACGAAAAAAAGTCAAATATTATCGTTGTATTATTCGTCTACATCAAATTTAACCAAAAAAAGCATTTTTGTGGCTTGTTTATATAATGATATTTTATATATTATTGTAAATTAAATTGATATTATTACTTTATGATACACTCTGAATTCTATCTTTATATTTTAAACTTATTTGAATATTTTGATAATTTTTAACAAATTAAAACAAATAAATTTATAAATAAAAAATTAAATAATCTAATTAAAATATATAGTTTATTATCTATCTATTGTCTATATCATTATAATTATTATTATAATACTATATTAAAGTTCATTCAAATGAATATATAGTTCAAGATATGTCTTATTTTCTCACCATATCCATTTGAAATCTATACAATTTTTCATCTTTCAATTAATTAATAGTAACTACTAAAAAAAAATTTAGCTTATATTTAATAATTATTAACTTTTTAATATGATATGATATAATTTATGAGCATCAAATCATGGTAGTTTCAATAGTTTTTTTTAATATAAAAAATTCAATCATTTGAGTAATATAAATACAAATCACATACAAAACGAGAGAGAAAATACATAGAAAGAATAACACAACTTTAAAGTTTTTGTGTTGCTTTTTTTTTTGCTACGTTTCAAGCCATGTAACGATTTTAAAGTTTTAAATTTGTATATTTATATAATGTTCTGGTTTTTCTAGGCAAAATTTTCATTTTTTTTTATTTATTCGAATAAGAGTCTTACATTCGTTATATTACATATTTAATTATAAAAACGAGTCTTAGCGGAAGTTGTAAATATTATTTATTGACTTCGATGCAAGTACAATCATGTGCGAGCCTTTCCTTGATTCGTAGAACAACTTGTAAAGCAGTTATTCAACAACTGTAAGTCGATGCTTAGTGAATTCCATCAAATATTACATACAACTATATATATATATATATACACACACACACACACACACAATGTATACACATAATGGCCTTCAACATATAGTAGGCCTAGCCAACCTTCAACATAAAGCTGGTTTGCCCCTTGGCCTTTAGCATTAAGCTAGTCCGCCCGAGTCTATTGGCCTACAGCGCGAAGCTGGTCCGCCCTCAACTCCCACAAAATATATTAACACATACAACTAGCAATATTCCAACATTACAGGCAACTATCTAGCCTAATTGCTTAACTGTATACTACAGGTAACTATATCCTAACATACAGTTGATACATACTGGAGTATACAATATACTGAGATGAAGTCAACTGGAGAGTTTCTGTAACATCCAGTTTCAGATTTTCTGTGATTAGGGTTCGTGAGCCACGAACCATGCATGGGGAGGTCTCGGGTTGCAACGAGTTGCCAAAGCGTATGCCATCTCATCACCTTTCCGTAGATATGAGAATCTTTGGAATCTGAGATATATCGAAGAAGCTATGATAGTTTGGAAGTTATGGCAAGTTTGGTCCTTATTGAGAAATGGGTGGCATCGGTTACGTTGGGCGTAAGTATGGTTACACTTAGCGTACCTATGAGCGTGGAATGGACGCGAGGACCACCTAGTACGTTGGGTGTACCAGAAGGTACGCTGGGCGTACTAAGCGCTGAGGGAAAACCCTAATTCAAGTAGCGTTCCTATTTAAGGAATGAGATGGTCTCATTTTTGGCGACCTTCCTCAGTCAATAAACCCTCTCAAACCCTGATATCCATTCTTGAGCTTGTGGGTGGCCATGTTGAGCTTATATGTGTTATTGTGGGCTCTTTGGAGTTAAGAAGGAGCATGGAAGAGAATGGAGTTGAAGTCCATGCCTTGGATCTAAGCTTTCTTAGGGCTTGAGCATCATTTAAAGGTATAAAGCTCAAAGCTTTCCCATACTTTTGATCTATGCTTAGTATGGTCCATTTTTAGGGTTTTATGTCCCAAGATTGGAACTTTGTGAGTTGGTGAACTCCAGAGCTTAATAACCTGTCGTTTTAAGTGTTTTTAGTGGTGGAGAACCATAAAAATGAGATCTTGATCATGAGAATCAACCCACGCATAAGTTATGTGCATTTTGGGTTAAGAAATTAAGAGTTTCATGTGTTGTGACCTTATCAGCCATGCAAGGGCCTAAAGTCATTAACTTTATGGAGTAAGAGATGTTAGGAAGTCCAGATCCAAGAGATGAATTAAGGTCTTAATGGGTTAAGACCCAGAAATTAGATTAAGCAAAACTGAGAGTATGAATGGCTTAATTCCAGTACGCCCCGCATACTGGGTTGAGGTCCCCGATCAATTTCATGTGAGCTTGAGTACGTTAAGCGTACCACGGAGGTACGCCCCGTGTAATCTCTCTGTACGCTTTTGGGCTACACTTTATTGTTGGGCCTTGAGTGTTGGACCTAAATCTTTGGGCCTGTATAGTTGAGACTATGAGTAGAGAAAAATAATATAATTATGCCTTGGGCCCTTGGGTTGGGCTTGTCATGTAGGTTGAGGTTTAGGCTCCGGGGAGCCCATTTATTATTGGGCCTTGGTGGGCCCAATGGGTTTAGGGCATTGATGAGCTGGTAGGTGGTCTATCTTTAGACCCAATAAGTGAGAGGTTGGACTTAGCTCCTAATTGAGATAATCGTGGGTTTGGCACAGAGTTAGAGGCCAGTGCGTAGTAGTAGTGTTTATAGGAGCTATTCTTCATCCGAGGTGAGTCTTCTCACTTTACTTTACCTAGAGTGGTAATTAGAGTTATGTGACAGAGTATTTTGTATGCTATTTATATGATGTGATACACTACATTATTTCTATGTGATTTATGTTATGTATGTTTCAAAGTTTAAAGAGTTAGGACCGGAAGGTCCACAGAGTTAGGACCAGAAGGTCCACAGAGTTATGGGACTGGAGGGTCCCACTGAGACACATTGACCAAAGGGTCAAACAGAGTTATAGACTCGAGTGGCTAATATGTGTTGTATGTGGTATTTTGGGGAAACTCACTAAGCTTCGTGCTTACCGTGTTATGTGTTATATGTTTCAGGTTTTCTTCTCTGAATCGCAGGACGGTACCGGCTTGATTGTACACACCAGAGAAAGAGTTATGAGGATCCTGGATTATTTCGGATTTGTGCTTGCAATTGAATAAAATAGATTTTTATACAATATGTTATGAAAAGTATGCATTTTAAAAATTGTTTTAAATTTTCACGTCGTTACAAGTTGGTATCAGAGCCTTGGTTTGAGGGATTCGGATGCACCTTCGGGTATATCTGGACTCAAACTGAGGAAATGAGGAAAATTTTCAAAATAAATGATTTTTCTAAAACGAGTAAGAGTTTCTAAAAGAAAACGAGAAGGAGCAGTGTGTACAATCAGCCAGACCCCGAACGGTGATTTCCCAAAATACCCTTACATTTGCGTTATAAAATATGTTATGAGATATTATGCATGCTAGAGATAAGATGGGTATTTCATATTTAAGGACTAAAGTGGCCTTATTTGTGATGCCTTAGCCTAGGAGTAGCTGTTATCTGTGATGCACTTTCGAGTATATGCTGAGTAAGAGTATCCAACATGGATCCTATATAGAAAGGGATTTGGGTAGAGGAGTAATCTAGGAGAGATACTTGGATGAGCATTGGAGGAGCCAACTGAGAGAGTAGTTAGATGCCCGCATGGGGTAGAGTCGCTTGAGTTCGGTGACACCTGCTTAGTGTGAATAGAGCCAATAGAGTTGTATCCTATAGTGGTTTTACGTGTTGGTAGAGATTGTTCGATACTTGAATATTGCTTGCTTGGTGCTTCGTAGAACTCTCGATGATGGGAGTCAGCTACTAAGTGAATATGACGATATTCAGGAGGTAGATGGCTGCCATCATTAGGAGTTCTTCAGCAGATGATGGCCGAGAAGTGTGAGAATCTAGGAAGAGCCTAGGGGGTGACCATGGTCAGATGAGTACGCTGACAGAGTGGAGCATTTCGCTGGGGAGCGAACACACATGATGGAATTGGTGATCGAAAAGGTTGAGCAGCTACTTAGAAACTCTGGGATGGTTCGTGTAGAAAGTATGGGTAGATGTGGAAAGTAGTATGGGCCCGTACTATCGAAACCAGAGGACTTATACTCGATACAAGGGATATTCCAGAGGATCTAAGTAGCAAATCGAGAGGCAATATCATGGTTCGGGTACCATGACTGGTAGCAGATCGAGAGGTGATATCATGGTTCGAGTACCATGATTGGTGGCAGATCGAGAGGTGAATCATAGTTCGAGCACCACGGTTAGTAGCATATTGAGAGGCGGTATCATGGTTCGGGTACCATGATGGGTAGTAGATTGAGAGGTGATATCATGGTTTGAGTACCATGATTGGTGGCAGATTAGGAGGTGATGTCATGGTTCAGGTACCATGATTCATAGCAATTAGTGCTTAGGCCTTTTCCAGCTATCCCGTTGGGATTGTTTGAATGAGGTCGGATGTGATAGAGTCTAGGGGCAAGAGGGTCATGATGTACGATTTTCGATGAAGCATACCTTAAGAGCGAAATTGGGTTAGTCTTGAG